TTTAGGGTTTAGGGGTCAGGGTTGGGGGTTGAGGGTTTAGGGGTTTAGGGTTTGGGGTTTCCGGGTTTACGGCTTTAGCATTGGGTACCATTTCGCTATAAACCCTAAGCCCTATGAATATACCTACTATTAGGGACCATCTACCCATTTTTGAGAGTACAGGAAGGGCCTCGTCACTTATTGAATCGCCCTAGAGTTCCACAAGTCTAACTTTGAAATCCCGCGAACTCTAAACTCCACCCCGAAACCCCTGGAACCTAATATAAGGGCCTAAATAATTACCGATACTATTTTTTTTTGGGGGGGGTTCCTTGTTCTAGTTATAGTATGATATACCCCAAAACCCCAAACCCCTAAAACCCTATTCTAATTATTAAGGCTATTAAGGCCCCTCTGTTACATCGAAATCCCAAGTTGCGGCAGGTCACGGCCAGCAATTGGACCTTTTTCAAGTCCTACTCTCCGGGCCCAGCTTCGAGGGACAAGCCCGTCTTGAAGCTCGGATTGCTAGGTCTGGGAGCTTGCGTGTTCTACGGTTTAGGGTTTAGGGTATTAGGGTTTAGGGTTTAGGGTTCTAGGGTTTAGGGTTTAGGGTTGTTTGGTTTAGGGTTTTTCATGGTGGTTTGGAGTTGTCAATTTCCGTTGAAACGAACACCACTTGCACTGACATCGGGTCACCTTAAACCGGAAGAGTTAGCGAAGGCGGGGGTGATGATACAGGCATGAGCTCGAAACCCTAAACCTAACCCGAAACCCCCATCCGAAGATGCAGAGAACGGGATCTTCCTGCACCTGTTAATATGGGGACCTTCATAATTATATATGATTCCTTTCCGGGGCTCCTTATTATAACTACAGCATAATATACCCCCAAACCCTATTCTAATTATTAACGCCCCTGTACATATTACATGGGGTACTCTTGCCCGTGTGTTGCTGTCGCCTACCGCAGGCTGTCGGTCTGGTGACGCCTCGTCCTGCGGGTCAAACTCGTGGACCCTTCAGTTTACAAACCCGCAATCATTAGCAATATTATTTTGGTGGTCCTTATGATAATTATGGTTTTTTTCTGGGCCACAAAACCCTATTCCAATTATTAAGGCCCCTATATTAGTTCTGATTCTAGTTCTAGGGGGTTGGTGTTCACGGCTCTAAGACCCTTGTAGGGGTTTTGCGCGTTGTCGCCGACAAGCAACCCTTACTACGCGCCGAAGCTCTAGGCGCGCAACACCTGAAGCCAATCCGCTCCTAAACCCTAAACCCTAAACCCTAAACCCCAAACCCCAAACCCCTAAACCCCTGAACCCCTAAACCCCTAAACCCCTGAACCCCTAAACCCTAAAGCTCCTCTATGCCGGGTTTCCGCAAGAACGACGACAGCAATCTCCGAGCCAACGCCTGTCGCCTCAACGTTGACTCGAGTGAAGCCTTGCACCCAGAGAACCCAATACCCCTTACTTAAGCAGTGTACCTGAAATCATAACTTTAAGGCCCATATATATATATATATATGCTACCCCCCCCCCTCCAAAACCCACCCCAGAAGCCGAACCGATAA